GCTGTGAAACTTACAAACAGACCAGGGCTTTCGCTTTCTCTCCCCGGAATCTGTGTCAGATGTCATTGTCTCGGCTGCCCACTGCGATCTTTGTCAAGGGTTTCCTTGGTAAAGGTCACTCCTGTAAAAGGAATTGTCAAGACCACAAAGCTGCCAGTCTCTGATTCCAAAATTGTTGTTGATTTATGACTGTTATCTATTTTTCCAGGCTACACCCTGAAGATTCCAACGGGACTTGTATAAGGTTTTCTGGTTAGAGTTATCTTTGCACAGAATTCTACTTGGCTTAATTATCTGCCAAGTGCCTTTCTTTTTCTTTTCCAAGCATGTGTGTTATAAACCAAACACATATTGTTTACTTTTCATTGGCCCCTGTTACGCAGCCTGGCTTGATCACTAAGTAGCTAGTCAAGGTGTTCGTTCTGTGATATTCATTAGACAACTCATATTATTTGAGACAAAAGCAGTTATTGGATCATAACGTGCACTTTGTTCTCAATTTTTTCTGTAATAAGATAAACATCTTACCATTTTATTTATTGTTCTAACTAAGAATATCCAAGATTATATATGAGTTTTATAGGCAGCAGGACACAACCCTCAAAATGGTCACCCAAGGAAACCATTGCAACTTCTACAAGGTATTCTTCATTCATTAGTAATTTAGTTATTGTTTTATTACCAAGCTTTTGTTCATATTATTGCATCTCTTCACCCAGGGCCTCAGTCCTGAAGGGCAAATAGAGACATAAACAGACAAGGTACTGTACATCATGCGATGTTGCATAAATACAAAGTATTTGAAGAATGCACAAGGTGGGAGCATATGTCGTCACCTGGAGGACTCAGGAAGTCGGATCAAGGAACCATTTCTTGGTTTATTTATTTGTTATTTATTTTAGTATGTAGTCTTGAAAGAAAGATAAATAGTGGCATCGGGAGGGTGAAAGTGCAAGAGAGAAGGGGGAGAAGAGAGTTCCCCCAGCTCGAGAATTAGGGAGGGGTCGGTAACGGGGAGTTTCAGGTTAAGAGAGGACAGTTGGGGGAATTCTTCCTGGTACAAATGTTCTTGGTAAAGCAGGTCGATGTTTGCTGAAGTGACTGGGGCCAAACTGGGGATCTGGAGAAAGAAAGGTCTGGAGCAGCCTCTGGGAAAAATGGAGTCCATGAGCCACGGAGAAAAATCGAGATCAGGAATGATGAGGAGAAGAGAAGGTGGAGAGGAGCCTGTGCTCATGGAGAGGGGCGTCTCCCTTCTCTGTTGTCGGTGCAGAACCGAGGAGCATGTTGGTTGTGGCCCAGACTGAACTGGCGAGAAAAGCGCGGTGGGACGTCCAGGGGCTGGGGGCTCCTCACGAGCGCGTGGCGGGGGGTCCACAGGGGACAGTCGAAGGACTGACTGCAGTGTCCGCACGGGGTGCAGCGGGAGGTCGAGACAGTACCACTTTCTCTGTGACCCTTCCTTACCGAGATGGCTCCCTGGCCCGGCGCCTGAACCCCAGCCTTGCCCTTGCCTGTCTGCCCCCCAAATTACCTTTACTTCTGACTCGCCCTGGTGATGGCAACAGATGCTGCTTTTCTTTTGGCCACAAAGAAGACTGTGTAGAATAAGGAGATACAGAGCCTTTGTTTTGTTGTACTGTGTGGTCTTTTATTCTTCTTCTGATTTAGCTTCTCATTTATATATTTTCGCTTTCACATGTCACTAAGTTTAAATGTTTAAATATTTCCCCCTTCAGTAGCCAAAAAGAAAACAAAGCAACAGCTAATCTAGTAATAAATTTATTTCTAGCTAGAGGAGATAAGCTTCGATGCAATGTGGCCGTAAAGTATGGCTCCCAGGCTTAGGGGAGAAGCAATAAACTTTTATAAATAAAAGAATTTTAAAATACTCCTGGCAGTCTAAATAAGGGTAAAATATAACCTGGAACACACAGCCAACACCAGAGCTACTACTTGCAAAAGAAAACCGTGAACTGAAATAAGAATATGTTTGCAGCTTTTCTGTTGTTACCTTGCACCCCAGGTGGGCCGGCTGCAGAATTTGCTGTGAGAAGTTTTTGACTCACCTTCTGAAATTTTATCTCAGTTACATCTCTTGACACCTTTTGATTTGCTGAAGATCTTTAATAATCACCAAGGAAACCCAGGGACCCTGGTGCCACAAATAAGAGAATTCTAAACAAATGTTAGGGTGTCAGAGAACACTTTCCACAGAGGGAGGCTGCGTCCCGTGGGTTGGTTAATGAGGGGGCTTGCATAGAAAGTCTTGACATGACTTTCAGTCTTGCTCTGCAGCTGATCTTTAAAGAAAGGTTGAAGTCCTCCTGAGGTCCATCTCAGGTTCATTTGGGTTTTCAGCTCAAGAGACACTTGGGCAAAAGCTTTAAAAAATACAGTGGCATTTTAGTGAGCAATGTTCTGATTTGAAAAACTGTTGAAGTAATGGATTATTCCTCTAGAAAATGAAGGGGCAAGCAAGAGAATACCCCTCTCCTCTCCTCTCTCTCTCTCTGACTCTCTATCCCTCCCTCCTTCCCTCCCTCCTTCAAATCAGCAGTGATCATAGAGAGGGAATGGAATGCTGCCAATAGGGTGAAATCAGAATGTATCGGTGCCTCATTCAGTGAGCGCGTATTTCCCGAGCATCTGTAATGTCAGGCCAACTGTGTTTGTTGCCGGGAAGCAGGTTAAACGTGGCCTGTCCCCTTAGGAACCGAGGGCCTCGCTAGCACAGAGTGAGTTCCACCTGGCAGCATGGAGGGAGGCTGAGAGGCTGGGTGGGGTCAGCTTGGTTTAGAAGGTGGTAGACCAGCTTTCCCTCTGGAGAGAGGGGCATTGCAGAGAGAGGAAATGAAGGAGTTGACATGGAGACGGGAGCAGAACGAATGTTCGTTGGGCTTTGACTATGGAAGGCCTTAAATGCCACTTTAAGGACTGTGGACCGTGTCGTGTAGGAAGCCATAGGAAAAGCTAGAACCAGCAGAGACATGATCTGTGTTTTAAATTTGTTTCATAAAGAGAAATCTCTGTTGGCGGTAGAGGGATGAGAGATGAGAGGCAGATGATGAGGCTCCAGGGAAAGGCAGAGGGAATGTGTGGGCATTCCATTTCTAATTTGCTAGGCCTGGTGTGCTGTCTGAAGTTGGATTTATTTTGCTGGATTGTGCCGAGAAAGACAAGCTTGCACAGAAATGTAATTCTCGGTTTCATTTCACTACTTAGTAGCCATGTGTTTGTGGGCAAGGAACTTGAACTCCGTCCCATGTTCCTCATCGGCAGAATGGGAGTAACAGTGGGGCCGTCTGCGTAGGATTAACTGGGATGTTTTATCTGTGTGTGTAGCCGGGAGAACCATACCTAGTGTGTGGTACATGCCACATGACTCATTTCGTTTTATTGCTTGTCAGTTCATTGATTCACTTATCTGTGCATTTACCCTGTGTAAAGGCAGACAGTTTTATAACCATCCAGGCTAACCTGCTGTCGATGGTCACTGATACATTTTGCTTGCAGAACTTTACTGACTTTTTTTCACCTCCTTTCCTTAATTCCTCTTGGGCGAAACATTTCTAGCAGGAAATAAGAGGGTGACACCTATAAATTAAAACAGCTACTTCCCCTCAAATGTAAAGTGATCAGAAAATTTTGCAAAGAATGCTGCGGTATGGTGGTCCTTGGTGTGGGTGTGTAACAGGGAGCAGGGGAGGTGTTAAGTCAAGTTCCAGAGCTGGGAAAATTGGGCGGTCTTACTTTACAGTGCAATCTGGCTCTATTATTTTGATAAACAGATTCTGAAATTCCAGAACATAGTGTGAACCACATTCGAATATGATTGCAGAAACACCTCCAAACACCCCCAATATAAAATTTTAATCACCTCTGCCTTTGCTTCCCTCTTTGTGAAAATAACTTGGAAATGACTGTACCACATTCTTAAATTGGAACAATACTTCTGTGTCCCATGCATATAATAAAAAGCTATTATGAGTATTTTCATTGTAGGTATATTTTATTATAGAAATGTATATTTGTATTTATTGTATAAATAACCGCCGGCTCAGATATTAGCACTCAGAACAAAACTCGAATAGGAGGGGATTCAGTCCTTATTTTTTCTTTGTGCAGAGCCAGGGTTCTGTTCCTTCACGTGTTAGGGCTCTTGTGAAACAGGAAACTGGCCCCATTAGGTGATAGGAAGAATCGATAGGATTTGGGGAGAAAATGAAATATCCTGAAACATTTTGCCTTTGAAGAGCTGGGAAAGCCGTTCTTAACAGAGAGACTAACGCAGTTTCTCTGTCTCGCTGAGGTCAACAAAGCGCTCCTTGGCTCTAAGGCTTTTCATTGTGCCTGCACGTGAACTCTTCACTGACGGAGCGGGCTCTTTCATTTGATCCATCAAGATTACCAAGCCCTGTGTCACCATCCCCCTAAAATACGGCATAATGATTAATGAAATAATGATTAAAGATACAGAGGCCACGTCATGCAGTGGCAAGAGATTACAGATGCCTCATTCTCTCCTGTTGGTTACTGGGAATTAAGTTTCAATAGCACTGAGTACTTCTGCAAAAATACCTGTACATTATTTAAATGACATTTTCCAACTTTTCTCCTTGGTATATGGCTAAGCAGCTTTGACTAGTTTATATATTAAGCCAATGTTGTTTTATAATGAGATAATTTGCTGGACGTGTTTCTGCAGAATCGTGATTGTGGTTAGAGAAATGAGCAAAGATCTCCGGGGGGTGGGTGGCTTGTGATCTCGTCCCAACCCTGTAGGAACACATGTGTGACTTCAAGCAAGGAGCTTACTTCTGATGACGTTTGTCCCGTCTCCTTTGAGGGGCTTCCGTGAGAATCAAATGAGTGGAGGTGGATGAAACGTCTTGAAACCTAAAAAGCACTAGAAATGACCAAGTGTAGTTGCTGAACATCCTGAAGTAAAACAAATAGGCATTTTTTTTTTTGTTTTTTTGGTTTGTTTAATTTTGCAGGGAACAAGGGAAACTCTGAGTCGTCACTGCAGCACCCTTGGGGATGCTCTTCGGAAAGAGAATGACTTTGCTCTTATAATTGATGGGAATACCCTCAAGTATGCCTTAACTTTCGGAATCCGGCATTATTTCCTGGACCTGGCTTTGTCGTGCAAAGCTGTTATTTGCTGCAGGTAAGTTCTTAATATTGTCAGATTTCATTAAAGGATGACTTTATCCGCCCTGGCTGGTATTGTTCAGTGATTAGAGCATCGGCCCACACACCAAAGGGCTCAATTCCAGTCAAAGGCACGAACCTGGGTTGCAGGTTTGATCCCCTCCAGGGCACGTGCGAGAGGCATCTGATGTGTCTTTCACATGACTGTCTCTCTCCCTCCCTCCCCTTCCTTCTCTTCCACTCTCTCTAAAAATCAGTGGAAAAGATATCTTCAGGTGAGTGTTAACAACAACAACAACAGAACATATTTATCCCAAGTTACCTGATTTTTAAACTTCCTTAAAGTTATTCTATCCAGAATTTGTAAATGTCAGGTTATTTATTAAGTTAATCACTCAGACTCGAGGTTCACAAACTGGGATAGAATTTATTAGCAGAGTTTTTGAAAGTGAGTTCTAAAAACCTCCAATCATTATTGTTCACAATTAGAATTGATAGGCTTCTTGCCAGAAGGCTCGACTATTTGGAAAATAATTTTGACTATGTGGTCCTTTACCCTCTAATTTATAATATTGCCTATATCCTAAAATAAAATCTGTTCTCAGTTATCAAGTTCTTATCCACAGAACTGTGTTTTTATTAACCACCCAGTCCTTCCTGAACTTTTTGTCAGAGACTCTTCCCCATTTTTTCGTCTAAATTGTTTATACTGTGTCTTCCTAAAATTTGAAGTGTATACATCACTGTGCCCCGTCTCTTCCCTTCTGGTCACCATGAAATCTAAGAATTGTCCTTTTGACCACCCGCCAGCTGAATCTTACCCGCTGGTCAGACTAGGTCCAGGGTCGCAGCTTCTCAGGTGGCTTTGTCTTCCTGGGAGAGGAAATGCTATCAGGGCTTCTGAATAATTTCTCAGAATCTGTGCTTTTAATTTACCTTTAAAACTGTACTGTTTGCTTTTATTATTTTCTTTAAAATGTATTTATTTTTTTAAAGAATGTTATGCTTTTTAAACCTTCCACCTTTTTTGTCCAGGTTTAGTCACTTAAATATCCTGTTTATAATATTGTTTCCAAAGTTCTAAGCCATGCCATGCAGATATTTCCTAAATTTCCATTGACATATACTTTGTGAAATATTTAAATCATACTTAATAGATACCTTTTATAAGCTTCCTTTCAGCCTATAAAATTCTGTCATATGCAGAGAATTGAGTTGTTTATTATTATTCTCATGTATTAATAAATATTATTACTATTAAGCTCTCTGATACAATGTTGCATAGATAATTAGTATTAGTAAGAATCAGGCTTTTTGCTTAATCATGAAGAAAGAATTGGCAACTGTGTTATCTTGACTACCAGTGTCATTGCACTTTGGTATCCTCGTGCTTTTTAAAATAGGCATTTTCAGTAACTTGTCATGGTTCCTGACACTCTTTGTCAGGATAATACCGTGCCAGATTTGGTTGCTTCATCATTGTCACTAACGGGATCACAAGGATCAAGGCGAGTTTGCTCCAAAACACTTTAAGTGATATGACTGTTGGCTCCTGGGTGGAAACAACCCAGAACCAGAGCTATTGCGATGTAATTGCCAGTTTCCTTGAGTGGCGGCACCTGCCCTGCGCCCACTGTGCGCCAGGCGTCGATGGTGCACCCAGGAGCACCTACAAGACTTCCCACCTGCAGCTTTCTTTGTCGTCGTCGTTTGAAGTAGAAGCACAATCGGGTTGAAAGATGTGGGGGGCCAGTGTTGCAGACACAGTGCTCACAGCTGAGCCTCATTCTTTCAGCATTGCTTAACACGGCGCCTCCCGCCAGCCTCCGGGACGCCGAGCCGCAAGGAAAACAATCGCAGAGGGAGAGGAAAACTAGAAAGCAGCGTCAAGGGAGGGGAAATATGTTCTGTGCTTATGAAATCCCCTCCCGAGATCCTTGTTCTGGACGCTCACAAGCCACATGGACCTCAGGGCTCCTCCAAGCCCCAGGGACTGAATCACCCCCGGCCCTGCACGCGTGTGTGGCCCCTGCCTGCCTCCGGCCTCCTGATGCCTGTTGTAGGATCATGACGGCCCCTGTGCAGACACTGAGTCATATTTAGAGTTTTAGGCTTGGTGTGCCTTTTGTTTGTTTGTTTGTTTGTTTGCTGTTTTAAGTAAAATATCTTTCCTTGGCTTTTTTTCCTTCTAATCATCTTCATACTCTCAGTTTTCCCATAAGTACTGTGGTTTGACTTCCAGTCTGGCTTTGAGAATTCATCTAAGCCCATAATTACCCGATTCATGTCTCTGTACCTTCTTGGCCTGGTGCCACTTGGCATGTAAACCATTGTCACAGACCACCTTCGTGTCATTTGGCTTACTGACCTCGAAGTAGTGTCCATGATGACACTCCTGGCTGGGGAGGCCTAGGTGAGAAATTCTGCAGATCCTTCTTTACCCAGACAGGCAAGTGTCCCTCCTGGTTTTTTAGATGATCCCACTCTCCCAGCCTCAGGAAATTCTCTATTTTACTTCATCACACGAGATGCTCCCGATAAATACTGAACATTATTTCCAAATACAGTCCAGGACTGTTTCCCAAATTAATGTATGTTCATTCTAGCTCTGTGGGTTTTCCCCTCAAACTACTTTCTGATCTATTTCCTGTCAGTCTGCAAGGAAGGTAGTTCAGGATCTACCCTCCCCTGCAGCCCTCTCTTCAGTCAGAGCTGGGGAGAGTGGAGGGAGGGTGGACCGGCTCCCTGTAGTGGAGAATGAGGCTGCCTCTCCAGGTTTACCTCAGCCTCTTCCCTCTCTGGCATCATCAGCATAACGGCAGAAGGCAGTTTTCAGTGTCTGCCTAAATGACCCAGTTAAAAAAGATGAGCATTTTCCCTGAAGAGTCTACAGTTGAATTGAAAGGAACAGTTGTTCTCCGTCGATAGTCATGGGGTCTCTTACCAGTTTTCTGAAGGGATATTCAGAGACAGAAATCTCAAATTATTGACGGCGTTGGAGTCCTGGTTTTGCTTTACAATGGGAAGGTTGCATGTTATGCCTCAAATGTTCTTTTGAGTATATAAAATCCAAGAGGTAAAATGAAACGTTTTAACAGTCTGCTAAGGACTGTGTTTTCATGAGTACCGTGCCGCTTGCAGTTTTACCTCTGTGCACACGTACCTGTGTGACCTGAGTAGTTTATGGGAAACAGGCAGTTTCTGATCCATTTTCCTGGTAATAAACCTGAACTACGCCTTTGGGGTCCTCCTCCCGTCTGTTCCCTTGCTCACGCGCACTGACTCTTATCGTTCGGTGTGATCACAGATGCTTTTGAAGAACAAATGGAAGCTACGGATCATCTCCTACAAAATATACAGATACACACATACATGTAAAATTAAGGGCACTGTTTTGTGGGTTGCACAAACTCCCCAAAACTCCTTGGACAGATAGAGGAGGAAAAGGGCTCGCTCCAAGAGTCATGGAGATTTGTGTATACAAGTAACATCAAGAGCCATTCCGCAGAGTAATTATCAGAAAATAATTCCTCATCGCAGTCACCAATAAGGTCTTACAGCTTGTGTTGTTGGTACAGTGGCATTTTACCTGGAGATTCACACACTTCTTGTTCTAATGCTGCCTCTCTGGCACTGCGGATACCTCTGGCCTCGGTTTTGTGACCTGTAAAATGGGGAGCTTGGCGTACAGCAGCCATTCCAGTCCTCCAGGGAGCCTGATGGCTAAAGCAGCTAAGAGCGGAGCCTGTCAGGCTCGGAGAGGCGGGAACCCCCGCACACACACGCTTCCTGGGCCGTCTCCGGCCAGCCCGAGAGCTCTGGGCCAGGACATTTCTCCTAGCCCTCTTTTGGGGATGACCCATACTTGTGTTGGCTACTCTGTTCTGGAAAGACTCCGTCTACTGCTTGGATTAACTTAATTTGGGGAAGCATCTGTTGCACCTCTGATACTGTTCCCCGCAGAAGACAGTGGTTGGGCCGTGCGGGGAAGCCCTGCCTTGTGTTAAACGGCCTGTGGTTTCTGAGAGCCTCGTTGGTTCACATAACCCAGCCTTTCAAAGAATTTCACATTTTTTCTGTAGTTGTCAGTTTAGTTTAAACATATATTGAAACTTACATTCTGTGACAGTTGGTTGAAAATTGGCCTAGAGCCTCCAGCTTTTAGACTGTCTGGTAATCACCGTTCTTCTACATAATTTATGTACTCATGTCTTCTGAAAAGCAGAAGTTAAATTGAAGTGAGCATTTTTCCCTACTTGCAACATCTCTAATCGAAGTTTTAACCCCCTTTTAGGCAATTTCCCCACAGTGCATGAAAAAACACTTGACCTCAGTGAGTGTTGTCACTCGGGAATGACATTCCAGGCAAGACCTTTCACCTGGTCCCATCAGGGGACCCTCCAAGGAGAGGTCTGAAGGGACGCTTTGCATACTTTCTGTCATAGCTTGAGTGCGTTAAATAAAGGATTTATTTACTTCTTGAGTCTACTTCTTGAATCTTTTAGGATTGTCCTAAACGTTAAGGATTTCTCTAAATAAATGTTCTACTTAAAGGATAGTCATAAAGCACAAATGAAGCTAATAAGTGCTCGACAGACATTCCTTTAAAGAAGCAAGTTTGTGACTGTCGCTGGGTGCCAAAGCAGATGTTTGGCTTTGAGAAAACTTACAAACTATTAACGAATGTCAACCATATATTTGCTCTCAAGATAATATGAATAAACGTTGGAAATGTTGAGGGAGTATTTCTTGCACACATGACCTAAAAGAGGACATAGTGAATATATTTTATCATTTCATAAAATGCCCATATTTTGCTGTGACATAACATAACACTAAGTCGCCCGGCCCTGCCGTCGCACTTGCGCTCCTACCTCACTGAGGAATGTGAAAGGAACCGCACGTCCGTTTTACACCTGGCAGCCAGCACGCCACCAGTGACAGATCTAAAATAGATGAGACCTCTAAATGCTGTAGAATCTCACTGTCATTTAATATTAGTTTTAGATGTGACTC